ACTCCAGCTCCAAGGGATCTGATGCCCTCTTCTGGCCTCTGAGGTACCTGCATCAATAGACACATAACAACATAGAGACAGAGAATTAAAAATAAAATAAATCGGGGATGGAGAGATGGCTGAGTAGTTAAGAACACTGGCTGTTCTTTCAGAAGACTGGGGTTCGAATCCCAGCACCCATATGGCAGCTAACAACTGTCCACAACTCCAGTTCCAGGGGATCCAACAGTCTCTTCTGTCCTCCACAGGCATTGCACAACACAGGTGCACTTACCTACATGCAGGCAATACATGCATACACATAAAAAAAGTAAATTAAAATAAAATAAGTAAATCTTTTAAAAAAATGAATACAAAAGTGAAAAATAAAAGCTAGGCATGATGGTGCACACTTTCAGTCCTAACACTTGGGAGGCAGAGGCAGGCAGTTCTCTGTGAGATCAAGGCCAGTGTGGTCTCCATAGCAAGTACCAGGTGGACCAGCTGAGGCTACAGGGAGCTCTTGTCTCAAAAAGACAAAAAAAGTGAATACAATTCTAGTGTCCATTAGCTACTGAGAAAATACAATTTGATACAACCTCTATATTATGAGGTGTTTTTCAGTAGTATAAAGAAATGAAGTTCTGATACCTCATGAACCTGACAGAAGTTAGCCACAAAAGACCATATATTTCATTATTCCATTGATATGAAAAGGTATAAACTCATCAAGCTTCTTGAAACAAAGTGGCTAGAGGTTGTTTAGCAGAGGGGGTAAGAGCTGACTATTCTGGTTGGGTTTTCTTTTAGAGGAGAATGAACACTTTTTTATGCGTTTGTTGTTTTATGTTTTGGAGACAGGGTCTCATGTAACCCAGGCTGACTTTGAACTAACTCACCAAATAGCAAAGGATGACCTTGAATTTTGATCCTCTTGCCTCTACATCCCAAGGGCTAGGATTACAGCCTACTTCACCATATGCAGCAGATAAACAACTTTAAAAGTTAGATTATGAGGGCTAGAAAGATGGCTCAGAGGTTAAGAGCACTGGCTGCTTTTGCAGAGAACCTAGGTTCAAGTCTCAGAACCCACATGGTGGCTAACAACTATCTGTAACTCCAGTTCCAGGAAATCTGATGCCCTCTTCTAACCTCCGCAGGCATTGAATGACAGGGGTGCACCTAGCTACATGCAGGCAATACACTCATACACAGAAAATAAAAAATAAAAAGAAACCTTGGAAAGGCCAGGCATGGTGGATCACACCTTTAATCTCAGCATTTGGTACACAGAGGCAAGTGATCTCTGTGAGTTCAAGACCAGACTAGTCTACATAGTGAATTCCAGGCCAGCCAGAACTACATAGTGAAACCCTGTCTCAAAAAAAATTTTTTTAAATAAATAAGGTGGGGGGGTGCGGCTGGAGAGATGTCTCAGCAGTTAAGAGCACTGGCTGCTCTTGCAAAGGACCTGGGTTGGGTTCCCAGCACCCACATATCTACTAACAACTATCTGTAACTTCAGTTCTAGGGGATCCAACGCCCTCTTCTTATCTCTGTGGGTACTGCACGACTCCCACGGGTGCACTTACACACATGCAAGTAATGCACTCATACACATAAATTAAAAATAATAAATAAAGCTGGGTGTGGTGGCACATGCCTTTAATCCCAGCTTTGGATGTGGGGGCTCCATGGCCCATGATGGAAGCAGAATTGCCTAGACTTGAGACTAGTTAGATGTAAAAGGATTAAGGAGGAGATTTGCAGGTTGGGGTGGGGGCCTTCCACTTTGACTGGAAATAATAGCAGTTGGAGGTCCAGTGTTCCTGGTCATACCTTGCTGGGGTGAGGGACATCACTGCATTTGCGGGGGGGTGTCAAGTTGAGTTCAGAGATGCTAAGAGGTTGCAGAGTGCCTACATCCAGCACTCAGTGATAAGGGAACTGTATTACATTTGTTGCTGTGATAAATTATTATGACCAACAGATCTTATAGGAAGAAGAGTTTGAGTTTACAATTCCAGGTTCCAGAGGGCTTAGAGTCGTCCATTATGGTGAGAAGGCATGGTAAGGTGACCAAAGCAAGAACAGAAGCTAAGTGCTCATATCTTCAAGCAGGCACAGGAAGGAGAGAGCAACAGGAAATCCAACAAGGCTTAAGAACTCTCTAAGCCTGGCCAGGTGTGGTGGTGTTGGAGAGATGGTTCAATGGTTAAGAACACTGGCTGCTCTTATAGAGGAACTGGGTTTGATTCCCAGCCCCCACATGGCAGCTAACAACTATCCATAACTCCAGTTCCAGGGGTTCCAACACCCTCTTCTGACCTTGGGCTCTGCATGGCATGGGTACACTTACATACATGCAGGTACACACTCATATGCATAAAATAAAAGTAACTTAAAAATTCAAATTTTAACGAGTGTTTTAGTTTTTAAAAAAATTTTATGTGTATGAGTGTACTGCCTGCATGCATGTAAACACACCTGTTATATCATGCAATGCCTGTGGAGGTCAGAAGAGGGCATCAGATCCCCATGGAACTGAAGTTACCAATGGTGGTTAGCCACCAGGTGGGTGCTTGGAACCAAACTCATATCTTCTGCAAGAGCAGGCAGTGCTCTTAACCACTGAGTATCTCTCTAGTCCCTTAAGTTTAGTTTTAATATTTTTTTATTATTCTTATTTTATGTGTATTCATGTATTGCCTGCATGTAGGTAAGTGCACCTATGTTGTGCAATGCCCGAGGGCAGAAGAGACTGTCGGATCCCCTGGAACTGGAGTTACGGACAGTTGTTAGCTGCCATGTGGGTGCTGGGATTCAAACCCGGGTCTTCTGCAAGAACAGCCAGTGTTCTTATTCTCTGAGCCATCCATCTCTCCAGCCCCATTAAGTTTAGTGGTTTTTTGTTTTTTGTCTTTTTGAGACAAGGTCTCCCTGTAGCCCCAAAGTTTAGTTTTTAAAAATTACATTTGTGTGTGCACCTGCACAAGTGGAGGTGAGAGGACAACAATACAATTTGTAGGAGTCAGAGTCGGTTCTCTCCTTCCACCTTGTGGGTGGCAAGCACCTTTACCCACTGTGCCATCTAGCCGCCACCCCCCTTTAAACCAGGGTCTCATTTTGTAGCCCAGGCTGGCCTTAACTTCTCACTTTCCTAGGAAGGACTCCCCCTGTGAAGGCCGGGAGACTGGTTGCACCTTTCAGGTACCCTAAGTCACTGACTGGGTTCACTTAAGGGGTAGGATGCTTTGCCCAGTGGCTGCAGGTAAAGGTAGTGACTGGGTCCAGGTAGGTGATGACACTGGTCCACTAGAGACAGGAGGTTGTAGACAGGTTTTGTTCTTTTACTGTGTCATCTCCTGCTCTAGCTGGGCCTGGTAGCTCTCAAGTCTGTATTCCCAGCTACTTGGAAGGCTGAGACAAGATTGAAAGTTCAAGGCCTGGATGTGCTACAGAGGAAGTTCAAGGCCAGCCTGGGCAATTTGGTGAGACTCATCTCAAAATGAGTAAAAGGGGGGCTGAGGGTAAAGCTCGGTGATAGAGCACGTGCCAGGCCCTGGGTATGGAGGGAGAAAGTACTTTAACTCTGGGTCTGAGTTTCTTCCTATGTGAGTTAGACATTGTGATTCATCCCTGTATTGCCATACTCCAGGAGGCTGAGGCAGGATGATCTGAGGCCAGCCTAGGATATAAAGCTCCCTGTCACAAAAGGAAGGAAGGAAAGAAGGAAGGGAGGGAGGGAGGGAGGAAGGAAGGAAAGAAAGAAAGAGAAAGAAAGAAAGAAAGAAAGAAAGAAAGAAAGAAAGAAAGAAAGAAAGAGAAAAAGATGCTTTCTACTGCCATTTCTTTTGGGGTTCAGGTCAAATGGCAGGTCCCTCAGAAGAGAGGGTTTGTGTATATGCATGTGGTGCCCTTCCGAGGGCACGTCTTCATGGAGAAGCCTATTAAGGACCAGCCTAGGGATACTTAGCCACCAGGGGTCTGTCCACCCCTCGACAGGCCTGCACCAGCCCCTGTCACCTGCAGAGGGCGCCGCAGTTACACCAAGGCGAAGTGAGCCTGAGGCTGGGTGCGAGGCCAAGGCCAGCCCAGCCTCTGGGAAAGACTTTCCCTAAAGGAACGCGGGAGCAGGAGCTAGAGAAAGATGAAAGTTGATGGGGACAACAGTAAAGAGCAGATTATTAGAGGGGAATGAGAACAAGGGGGTCGCTCTCAGACAGCAGGATCTGGAGCTAACCCTGGATTCGAGTCCTGGGAGCCACCTGCCCCTCCGCCCGATCCTCGGTCTGCGCATCCCTGCAGTGGGTTAAGGAGGCAGGCTGGCCCCGCTGCAAGCTGAATCAACAGCTTGTAGGCTGTAGCCCGGCTCAGAGCAGGCGCTGCGGGCAGCGGAGCAGGACTGGATCCCGGGATCCGCGAGGCTGTCTCACGAGGGGGCGCCAAGGGAGGCGCTCGACTCCAGGCTAGGAAAACCGGCCAGATGCAGCCGGAGGAGGGGGAGAGGAGGCCCGACCCACCCGACCCCGCGGACGCAGCTCTGCGCTCGGTTCTCCTGCCACCACCCCCTCCGCTCTCCGTGTCGTCTGTCGCGGGCTGCCACCTGGGCGCTCCGGGCCGCCGCGGGCCCTGGCGGCGGGCGGGG